CTGCGTGTGTTAGCTTGCGTCCCGTAGTCGTAGAACCGCTGCATGGCATCGCAAAAGCCGATGTGCAAAGATGGGTGGGCTATTCTGGGTTTGTGTTTGCGCGGGGATGCTTACAGCGTAGTGAGGCTCGATGAAGGGGTCGTTCACGGCGACAATGTCGACGTCGTTGTGCTCGATAGCATTGCGGAAGACGATACGGCCAATGCGACCGAATCCGTTGATACCAACCTGCGCGGACGCGTTAGTGACTGCCTCCTGGCGCAGCGGGGTAGTGGAATGAGCTTACCTTGACAACCATGATGAACTGAGTGTAGTGCTGAGAAAGTTAGAGAGTTGAAGAGGAAGCGAGGCAATTGCGCTGGGCTCACTCTTTTATAGGGTATAAGCTGATGTAGAAGTGGTGAGAGACAGAGTTTTGTGTCGGGCGCAGTGTTTTGTTGGGTCTGGGCTAAGGTGGGGTGCCCAGGTGAGGGAGGGGCAAGCTAAATAGCGACCAGCTTGAGGACGTCACAAGTTTTAGTTCTTTTTCTGTAATCCGATATGCAGCGCAGCCTGGGCCCCCAATTACACCACCTGCGCCTCCCACACTCCCGGCCGGCTACCTGCTTGTCAAGCCAAGCGCATTTGCGTTCAGCCTCGGGGGCGATATCGCCATCATTCGAGGCCGCGGACTGCACCGGAGAGCAAGGCGGGCAGCTCGGACAGACTATGCTGAGAGTACCCTGACCGAGGCATCCGTAACTATCTCCAGACGCATTCGTGACGCCAAGCGCTCTGGTGATACCGTACTTGCAGCCTCGCATACTGCAGTGTGTACCGCAGGCGGCTGGTCGGCCATTCAGGCCCGGCACGCCACGCAAGACACGATTCTATCAATGCTCTTACGAAAGAGGTATACGTGCATCTCGTAATCAGCGAGAGCACAGACTAGTGATGAAAACAGCTCTGCGCGGGCGTCAGCCGTTGTCGCTGTCGTGGGCAGGATCTTTTGGTCATTCGATGTGATAAACCAAAGCGCGCAGCAGAGTCTGATGCGATCACCGGTTCGTGGGGAGGCGGGTGTTTTGTGTCACCACCGAGATTCTCTCCGCCAGGCAAAGTCGAGTATGGTTCGAGATGAGGCGTGGGTATCCGCGGCCGGCACCGTGGCACTATGATGGACAGACATGTTATTTGTAGCAGCTCTGGCCCGCCACATGATCGCCAGATGCTACGGCGATTAAACCAGGAGCACAGGTACCTGCATATGGGTGCTGTGGCAAGGAGACCTGGAGCTACAGCTACAGCTTGAGCTTGAGCTCGAGCTCGGAGTTCAGATGACGATGCAAGCGAGTCCCGCCCCGACGCGTATGTTGTGCGCAGGTGCCGAGCCTCCGATCACGGGACGGCAAGACACCCTGGAATTACCTAGGTAGAGCGCGTCTGAACAAGCAGAATTCAATGTCATCCTGTCAGAGATGGCTAATTGCTTACACACGTTTGAAGGACGTTCATGATAGGTTAGCATCTATACGTTGTAGACTCTCGCAGCACTGCTCTACCCCGCGCTTGAGGGAATTTGCGAGTGTTTTGTTCCAAGTTGAATGCTCCATGCTCACTCGGGTACCCAGAAAGAGGAACGATGAACGCATGTGAGATATATAGTTCAGCAAAAGCCTCTCGATGTAGTCGATTTAGCATACACATACCATCTTGTCTTGTTTGTTGCGACATTATGGTGCCTTATCTAGCCAAACTCAGGGGTCTCTGTGATCGAGCAGCTCACGCAGGGCGAAAGCGCACCTATTCGGCGTATTCATAACCAGTCGTAGCTGAACTGAAGTCACGATCGCGATGCTATTGTAGACTTCCAGTGCCGCCAAAGGTTCCTCGGTCAAATCTCCGATGTCAATGTCGCGACTGGGCCCTGTGAGAGAACTGCTGGAGATGCTCGAACGGACGACAACATCCACCTTCATTCCACGTGGATTCCCTCTCACCATGGCGTATATCGGAAACATGGCAACCTCAGCGCAGGGTGGGATGAGGCTCTCAGATGCCGAGATAGACGGTTGTCCCGGCCAATGAGAGACTCAGCGTTAGGACGACGAGGGCGCTCGGGCCACAGAAGATTGATCGTTCCACCACCTTGGCGTTCCTCCCGCAACCACATTTTGCAAGACAGCTCTCCTGGCCCACCATCGACTCCATCACCACCACGATCCATTGGCAGCTGTAGGTCCCTCGACGGGAAGCTTCTCCCTTTGTTTTCTATTTTTCGACACTCTCCACTCCACCCGCCGCCATGCTGCGCTCGTCCATTGCCCGGGCTTCAAGCTCGGCTGCCGCCATGTCATCGACCGCGACCCGCACTGCTCTCCCCAGAGCTGCCCCCGTAGCCTGCCAGATCCAGCAATCCCGCCAGGCCCACGCCATCTCCAACCCGACCCTCGCCAACATCGAGAAGCGATGGGAGGACATGCCCCCACAGGAGCAGGCCGATCTGTGGATGACGCTTAGGGACCGCATGAAGACCGACTGGAAAGAGTTGACCATGCAGGAGAAGAAGGCTGGTGCGTACAATCCCATTCCGCGCATCTGGGTACTGCGACAGCTCGTATGACGTATCTTGTGTTTTGATCGAGGTACCCGAGCTAGCCCGCGGCATCTGGTGCGCTTAACGCGAGTTATCGCGACGTGCCGAGAAATTATCGATACGAACACCGCGCTGACAACACCCTTTGTATACAGCCTACTACATTGCCTTTGGTCCCCACGGTCCCCGCCGACCCCCGCCCCCGGATGAGGGCCGCAACGTCTTCCTCCTGTCCTCTGCCGTCATCATGGGTGCCTTCGCCGTCTTCGCCTTCACGCGCATGTTCGCCAGCCCCATCCGGCCCCGCACCATGACAAAGGAATGGCAAGAGGCCAGTGAGGAGTACCTCAAGGTATGCCACTTCCACGCTTGCACATTCGCGTCAGCACTAACACAGCACAGTCGCAAGGCAGCGAGCCCATCACCGGTTACAAGGGAATGTTGGTACAGAGCAAGTCCGAGAAGGACCTGCCTGCTAGGGAGAAGCTCAACGATGAGTAAAGATTCGAATAGAAGCGTCACAGCAATCACCATGCCAATACCGATACCACATTTTCCTTGTGTCAACTTTCCGTTTGGTACTGTCTGTGTCACATACAACAAGATCGAAAGCATTACGAACGGCTGCCGATCGGCCATTGTCATAATAGTCCTCATTGTACAGAAATCTAGAGGCTTTTCGCGTTTACCTGACGGTTCTCCACTTCGATCATGTGCAAGACGCACATTGTATGACTTATGCAACTCTCAAATCAAAGCGCTCTACCCTCGTCACGTCAGATGATACCTGTGTAGTTGCGTGACTGTTAACCAAAGGCGAGTGCAGATAACTAAGGACGTTGATATTATAATAACATAAGTCTTGCCTAATTCCTTTTCAAAAGTTTCTTCGTAAATGCTTGTAGGGTTTTAAGTTCGCAATTAGTAGTTACATCCACGCAACAGCGATATAAGGGTTTTATTGCCTAAGGTTTCTTTGTTGGTGAGGTTGGAAAATTCCTATCATCTTTGTTTGATATCAAATGGTCCTTTCGCAATCGGCGATGAATATTCCGATGCACGATTCATCCTCACCCATGATTAGGTGCCTATCATGCTGATCATAGTCATGAATTGCAGCATGCAGTCAGACATTATGTTACGAAAACGATGTGTTAGACGGCTGACAGCAGCTGTAAAAGACGCACATACCCGCATCCGCGGCCGAGGTAGTCCTTGTCGCACAGAAACGAGATATGTCAGCTTTGTAACAGCATGCTTGTTGAAGAAGTGTAAAGACCGCGGCCGTGCTTACTTTGAAGTCACAAGCTTCCCTATGAGCTTATAGCTCTCGCATATACAATTGCGAATTATGAGTGAACACTCGCTTCAGCTTCCCACGGCTCCATTCTAGCAAAGATGGACTGTAACGTCTATCCATTTCGAGAATTACTGGTGCACTCTATTCAAGCAAGATATCGAACACATACTAAGCTCAAGCCGCCTAGAAGTATACATCACCTTGAAAGTACTTATAAGTCTGATCTTTACATCGATGTAGGCTGCGCGGCACCTGTTCGCTTCCTTCCTTGCGTGAGGTAGGTGCATCCATGGATGCTTGCCAACATGACTACTGACCGACATGTCCTCTTAGGCCTACGGTCTATGAGAGAGACCAAATACCTGTGTTCCGGTTCTTCCTTACGTAGTATACTATTCGTAATATTAAAAACCCGAGCTTTTTGCACATCTCGAGCCTGCAGCTGACCTCAAGTTTTCCATCGCTGGTCTCACAATGCACTATTACCGGCAGCTACCTGCAGTATGCTCTATGTCATCTCTCGCCTGGTCAAGCTAACCATGGGCTCATCCTTACAGTGGACGGCACGGGTAAATCACTCAGTAGTCTACACTGCATCAGGAAGTTATCAAGTTTCGTTTTTAACACTAATGTAGACTTCAGGGTACCTGTTGAGTTTTACTATAGAGTCCTCTGGTGTATATGTATCCTACTATCTGGTCTGCAACTTCCGCATCTTGATATCTTGCCTGCTGCTTCCTTCCAACCTGCAACCAGTCCGGGAGGAGCCCGAACGAGTTGTAGTCAGTGGCACGGCCTAGCAACACCCTTAATGGAGTCTGGAAGATGAGAGAATGCCTTGTCAATCTGAGGCCCAGTCGGTTTGGTATGGAACTAATCCAGTGAGAAGCATGCTAAGAGACTACAGACTACTTGCTTATCGTCAGAATCACGTGTACATCAGAATGGAGATATTTCGAACAAGAAAAAGCGGTCTCTTCATGCAAGATAAGCTACAGAAAGCCACGCATCATGACACCCGCTAAAGTCCCACAGTTTCGGAGGTATATCTTTTGTACAAAGTGAGACTACCAGCGATTTGCCCTAGACACTTTGGCCGACTCTTCACCCACCACGAAAGTCCGTCTATGACTTCTCGAGCTCGGCAAGAATCTTCTCTCCCTTGGCGCGGGCTGACTCGAAGTCACCGACCATGTAGAAAGCACCTAGAAATGTCAGTCAAACGCTGTGAAAACGGATTTGTGGCAAACTCACCCTCGGGAAGGTCGTCACCCTCACCAGTCAAGATAGCCTTGAATGAGCGGATGGTGTCCTTGAGGTCGACAAGCTTGCCCTCAATACCAGTGAAGACCTGGGCGACAGCGAAAGGCTGGCTCAGGAAACGCTGGATCTTACGGGCACGCTCGACGGTAAGCTTGTCGGCTTCCGACAACTCGTCCATACCGAGAATGGCAATGATATCCTGGAGGGACTTGTACTCCTGGAGAATCTGCTGAACGCGGGTGGCGGTGTCGTAGTGGTCCTGACCGATGACACGGGGGTCCAACATACGGGACTTGGAGTCAAGAGGGTCGACGGCGGGGTAGATACCCAACTCGGAGATACCACGGGACAAGACAGTGGTGGCGTCCAAATGGGCGAAGGTGGTGGCGGGAGCAGGGTCAGTCAAATCGTCAGCGGGCACGTAGACGGCCTGGACGGAGGTAATGGATCCCTTGGTGGTGGTGGTAATACGCTCCTGCATGACACCCATGTCGATGGCGAGGGTGGGCTGGTAACCGACGGCAGAGGGGATACGACCGAGAAGAGCAGACACCTCGGAACCGGCTCTGTGAAGGGGGTTAGTGGGTGTGTCGAGTGCACCATGTAGAAAGGCACGTACTGGGTAAACCTGAAGATATTGTCTGGCCGATAGTTAGCACATGTCACGATTGGAGTTTGAGCAGGATATCTTACCGATAAAGAGCAACACATCCTGACCCTCTTCGTCGCGGAAATACGAGGGGTTTGTTAGCTTCATGTCACAGGCAGGTGTCGTTGGTCAAGAACTTACCTCAGCAACGGTAAGACCAGTAAGGGCGACACGGGCACGGGCACCCGGGGGCTCGTTCATCTGACCGAAGACAAGGGCGACCTTGGAGTCACCGTCAAGCTGAATGACGGAAGTCTCCTGCATCTCGTGGTACAGATCGTTACCCTCACGGGTACGCTCACCGACACCAGTGAAGACGGAGAAACCACCGTGGGCCTTGGCGATGTTGTTCTGCCCATCGTTAGCTGATGCTCAGCCTGGAAGCATTCCGTGTCCTTACGATCAACTCCTGAATGAACACAGTCTTTCCGACACCGGCACCTCCGAAGAGACCAATCTTTCCACCACGAGCGTAAGGAGCCAACAGGTCGACAACCTTGATACCGGTGACGAGGACCTCAGCGGAGGTGGACTGCTCGGTGAACTCCGGGGGGTCGGCGTGGATGGGGGCGTACTTGGTGGCCTTGATGGGACCACGCTCGTCAATGGGGTCACCAGTGACGTTCATGATACGACCAAGGGTACCGTGACCGACGGGGATCTTGATGGGGGCACCGGTGTCGGTGGCCTTGGAACCTCGGACGAGACCCTCGGTACCGTCCATGGCAATGCATCGTACGACGTTCTCACCCAAATGTTGCTGTGCTGAATCAGTGATGCTGTTCCCACTTCTTCAATTCTTGGCGTCCTTACAGCGACTTCGAGGATGAGCTTCTGGTCACCGTTCTGGGTTGTGACGGCGTTGAGAATAGCAGGGAGCTGCTCGGTGTCGAACTTGACCTGCATTTGGTGTCAGCGGCCGTCGTCTTGATGCGATGAAAACTTTTCGAAGAAGGGCTTCGGCTACGCACGTCCACGATGGCTCCTATACTTTAGGAAGGAGTCAGTATATATCCATCAATATATGTAGGTAGACTTACACTTGATGGATCTTGCCATCCTTTGTAGCATCGGTGCTGGCGAATCGGGTGGAGAGCGCGGGGGCGAAGCTCTTCTTCATGGGCGAAAATGCGCTGCGGCGAATGGCCGGCCTGCGCATGGAAGCGCGGAGCGCCTGCTGGATCCCACTGTCGAAATAGGCGTCAGTCCATCTCAATTCATCGTCAATTGGGCTCAGTGAGGGTCGCTCTTACCTCTTCAGCATTGTGAGATATGTGGTAGACGGATTGGTGAGTGGAGAGAGGGTGGGTTGGTGAGGAAAGAGCTTCTCACAGCTCGAACAGAAAGCGGACTTGCGTTCCACGAGATCCGTGCGCGGCTAGTGCCCACGCGGTTAGTATCCGGCAACGAGACGACCCCAGGATCGATTCTCTCACGACATTCAGAGCACTTTGCGTTACTACTTTCATCCTCCGAGTGTGATCGATTCTACTTTCTGACTATGGTAGTTTACTCTTGCGTATTGATCTGCCTGAGCGATGTCACGACGTCTATCCGCGTTCCGATTCGCTCCGATTGAATCACCGCCTTCAGATCACACACCACCAAAGCGAAATTGTGATACATAACGCCAGACCATAGTGTGCGAGGAACACGGCCAGCACGTCTGCATAATTGATTACAGCTCAGGCTGCGGACCTAGGCAGGCTTGATCATCCCTTGAATAGCAACAACAACGAAGACGCACATCGGAACACATTCTTGCAACAGTTGACTCACATAGTCTCTGTGTGCGCGAAAACAAACATCGTTCCCATCGCAATAGCCCGCTGCCGACGAGCGATTCAAAACTTACGAAGTCGATACCACTGTGGATACAATTAGGTTCCCTCAGATGAGAAGTATCGCCCATCCAACTATCGGGAAGTTCCAACAATCATTGCCACCTCAAGAACTCATTACATAACGTTAAGCCAACGACCACGAGGAAGTTTCCACCAGATGCCATTCAGCCGCCGATAGATCACTAGTTTTCAAGGTACATTTAGGTTGGGGTGGGTGGCCTAGGCGCTGGGTGTGGCATGCTCATGAAGGTAACACGTGTCGCAAGTAAGTCCTGGCTTCAATAAAGTCTCGTCTCAGGAAGCAAAGTAAACGGGTGGGTTGTGTCAGACAAGATCAATTTCACTATAGACTACATCATCTCGCCACCTTCAACCCCACCACCTTCAATCCCACCACCCAACAGCCACGCAAAGGATTAGTATGTTAGCATCTCACTAGATCGGGGCATCTCGCCATCACAATCAAGGCATCTCGCCGTGTGCAAAGAGGAGGCATCTCGCCACCACGATCAAGGCATCTCGCCGTGTGCAAAGGGGAGGCATCTCGCCATCAGAAGGGATCACTTACAATAGGCGACGAGAGGGTATCTCACTTCTTGGTGCCCTTCGCCTTTTTCTCATTGATCGGCTTGCTTATGAAGTCATGGTCCGGGTTCCACTTCCATCGGTTCCAGTGTGTATTGCAGACATCCATGTTCAGCTTGCGACCCATCCACTGCCAGAACGCTTGGTTACATTTATGGCCGTCCTGCGGAGCGATTTCGCCACGCACAATTGAGGAGTTTACCGCCAACCCTAGAAAAGAGAAAACTTAACATTGATGGAGCCTGGTATTTGGATTCGTGCTCGATACGCAAAGTATACTCTGAAGTATACGCTGTGTGTTGCAATCAAGATGTCGTAAGGCAGGAGGTTGCGTATACGCCTAGGGTATGTTTCAAGATTATGGGAAAGTCACAGAATCTCTGTCTATAAAACGATCAGATGCGCCTCATTGCTGGCGCTGTTATATCGGGTGCCCCAAAGACCCCATCCAGGCATGATTATCATGATTGCGGTGTCATACGTTGCAGCATACATCGGCGTCTCGATTGGTTTGTAGTTTCTGACCGTAGAGCCGGGAGGCACTCACAGTCAAAACCATAACGTCGCGATTAATTCTTGTACTGGATTGGAGACTACGAGCAGACTGTGAGTACGTATAGTATACGAACAGTGGCAATGTAGGGTGCACCTTCACCTTCACCTGCAATCGCACAACTAGGTTGGGACAACCGCAACCACAAACCAGCAAAAAAGAGAAATTAGCACATAAAGTAAGTAATGTAACAAGCTGTACTCGACCCACGAGCAAAAATATAACAATACTTCGATGAGATACCCGACATTTTCATGACGTACAAACGCTAATCACCCAAGTAGAGCTCGCAGGTCTTTGCTATATGAGAATTAGCTGAATTGATTACAATATATAGAGCAGTCAAATCGAGTTCTATACAGATCTGAATTCGCGCTGTTGTGTTGTGGGGGAGCGCGTGGTGAGAGCAAACGCGCAAACGCTCGTTGCCATGGTACTGCGGTGAGAGCGCGCGCACACCATCAGACTGCAACAACACATATCGCTTGTAACTAGTTGAGAGATACAACCTCGTCGTTTTATACAATCTACGCGACCAAAGCCATGCCTGGAGGTATCCGACGTTTTCTCTAGTGTTACACTCACTTCACGCAAGATTACGTATACAACTGCCTGAGACACGGAGCGCAGCGTAAAGACCACAAGTTTCTTCGTAGTCGGCAAGCTGGGAGATGAATCACAGCTTGAAGACTACAGGTCATGCTGTATTAGGCACTTGACGAGATGAGACGTGGCATTCATACGTGCGTTCATCTACCTTTTTCCATCTTGGGATCCTACGGCTCAACAACACTGCTTGTAAACAACAGGTCTCTTCGTACGCGGCACTTTTATGAGATGTGAGATTGTATTTACACATAACTTCATCGACCCTTCTCCAACTTAGGCTTCTTCGGCCCAACAAAATTACACAGTGCGCCACCATTCACGGCAATGACCTTCCATCCCACGGGAACGACACCAAACTCCTCACTCTCCTCCTCCGTCGCACTCAATTTCCATATCTTTCCTGTCTGCCTATCGAACCACTCCCTCCCTTCTGGTGTCTGTACCAACTCACCCAGCACAAACTTGGTTACAGTTTGAATATCTTTGGGATTGACCGAATCGGGGAGCTTTTGGATGTCCACGTCGAACTTGCGTTTGCCGTCGATTTGGACTACGCATTTGCGCGTTGTGGTGAGGAGCGGTATGATGGCTAGATCTGCGGTTGGGAAGCCTGTTGCGAAGACTGTTGAGATGCTGCTATCGTTCGTCTGAGTCGCAGTGCATGTGTTCAGTTGGTGCCAGGCTTCCTCAGCGACACCAGGAGCAATTGGGGCGAGCATGCGAACGAGGTGGGCCATGGAGTACCATTTGAGAATTGGTGTGACCGGAGACGCATGCGGTGTGTCCCAGATAGTGTTTGTCAGCGTCATTAGATCGCTGATGATGGTGTTGAGAGAGTATGTCTGCGAGTACGATTCTGTGACACTGGCGATGGTTTCTTGGGTCTTGATCCAAAGCTGAGCCTCATCTGGTTTGAGGGTGGACACCAAGGTTTTGCGTGTGGCGTTCTTAGATTCGCCGCTTGTCGAAGCATCTTGTAGGATACTGAGGAGTTTACTGTCAACCTGTGTGGGTGTAAGGAACGTCTCTATCACATCATCCGGTATCCATGGTGCGGTCGACAGCTTGACAACTCGGTGTAACCATCGTTGTACGCCAGTGATCTTTTTCTCGTCCCACTCAAGCACATCACTGACAGGTGCTTGGAAAAGCATATGCGCGCGCGTGGCGTCTGCGCCGTACTTGGCAATCGTGGCACCTGGATCCACTCCATTGTACTTGCTCTTCGACATCTTCTCGAAACTAACGTTCGGAGTGACTCCACTGGCCTTGATGATAGGCTTGGAAGGATTGGTCAAGTCGACTTCATCGGGGCGTAGGAAGCGACCATTTTCGGGGTCTGTAAACGTCTCTCCATGCACCATGCCTTGGGTGATTAGGCGCGTGAAAGGCTCGCCATTCGTCAGATAGCCCTTTGGCCATGTTGGAGTGGTTGCCAGAAACTTGGAGATGAAGCGCGCGTATAAAAGATGGAGAATCGCGTGTTCTACGCCACCAACATAGAGGTCCACTGGCATGCCAGTATTGGTCTTTGCCGGGTCGACCAAGGCGTGCTCGTTCTTCGGATCTAGAAACCGTAAGAAGTACCACGACGAGTCCATGAAGGTATCCATAGTATCAGTCTCGCGCTCAGCAGCCGAGCCGCACTTCGGACAAGAGGTCTTTTTCCAGTTCTCATCTTCCGCTAATGGGTTGCCTTTGCGACCCTCGAAGAAGCTGTCGGGTAGGTTCGGTAGCTCAACTGGAAGGTCTGTCTCAGGCACAGGAACAGCACCACAAGATTTGCAGTGGATAATTGGAATAGGCGCACCCCAGTAGCGCTGTCGACTTATCAGCCAATCACGGAGTCGCCAGTTTGCTTTCTTCTCAGCCGGCTTTCCAGTTTCGAGAATCGCTTGTACAACCGCATTCGCGGCTTGCTTTGAGGTCATGCCCCCGAAGCGATCTATGTCTGCAGCAACGAAGCCTTTTTCGGTCATAGGGACGTCCTCACCACTACGCGGTACAAGCGGCAAAGGTAGTGAGCCTTTCTTGGCAGACACGACGACTCTGACTGGCTCATCACCGACGTTCTTTCGCCAGAACGCGTGGTCCCGAGTGTCGTGGCCTGGGACACCCATTACAGCACCAGAGCCATAGTCGTCCAAAACGTATGGAGCCACATATACAGGTACGGATGGTCCTGTAGAGCCTTGTACGTGGGCGAGGGGGTTGCGCGCTACAATCTTCCTCAGCTTGAATCCCTCCTTGGTGTCCGCGGGAAGGTCCTTTGCTCGCTCCATGAAGGCGCGGAGCTCTTCGTCTTCGATGGCTAACTGCTGAACAATCGGGTGACGCAAAGAAAGAGCGATGTACTGTACTCCAAACAGCGTGTCAGCTCTGGTAGTAAAGACATCGACAGGCTCAAAGCGCATTTCACTATCGGTCGAGACGATATCGAACCAAAGTTGCGCGCCTTCAGACTTGCCGATCCAGTTCCTCTGCATGGCAAGAACCTTCTCAGGCCACCTGCCGTCTCGTGCAAGAGCGTCCAGGTCCTTTAGCAAGGGTTCCTGGAACTCCTTGATC